CGTCTCTCCCCCGCTCTGTTCTGTTGATCAGCCTGTTGTTGCAATCGACCCGTCTTGGTATTTCCTTTGTACATGTGTTCAACTGTTGACCCTGGCCTCTGTAGTGAAGCACCTGTAGTGTGTCCCCTAGTGGCCACGCTGAGACCTGCAAAGCCTGTGTCACAACTCAGCCCATATTTATCAGGCATCAAGGAATCTTTTCCTGGAATTGTGCTTCATGTGAAATTAGGAGAAAAGGGACTTGAACAGTACTTCAAAGCAGCACTTAACTTTGAGCAAGGCGGACTCTGTCTGTGAGAACGTGGCATTGCTCTTGAAAGAGCAAATTAAGAATTAAAGTGACCAAATAGATTTCTTTTTTCTGATGGTAATCATTTGGAAACATAAAAAAATAGAGCCTGAGGATCTGTGTGTACACTTTGGTGACCAAGTTGAAAAGTCAAATGTTAAAGTTTTGCTTAATTTCTTTAAAGCGCCCCTTTTATACACACATCAAACAGCACTTTATACAAAGATTCTTCTAGAGTAGTTTTGCATGATTCACATAATCAAAACCAACCGACACTGATTTAATCCACTGTCTGAAATAAGCCATTTTATCTCCCATTCCTTTTATTCTGATTGGATGCCCCTCACAGACATAAGGTTCAAACAATTGATGGACAATTATTTGTAACGTTTGTCATTTTTAATAATAAGGAAAGGAATAATAGGTGCGCTTGAAGTAACTTTACAGATGCATGTCTTTTATTATCATTATGAGGGTTAATTTCAGGGGAATGAGTCTATATTCAGAAGTACAGCCATTAAGGACCCTTTAATTAACAAAATCCTTTTTTTTCTGTCACTGTTCAGCCTTAATGTTCTTCTTATTCTTTGGGAATACTTCATCTTGAAATCCATGTCTTAGTTATTTATGCTGAAGTAAACCTAAAATAAATTTCTATTTCCTGGCCTCTCCTGCTTTTGGGGAGGAGAAAATTACAAAAAATATCTTATTTGACAGAACTATAGGAGGTATTTTTAGCCATATAACACATACGTGTGCACTATTCATGGGTTAATGAAACTCCAATTTGCAAAAACTGGTTTTAAAAAAATAACCAGTTTATTTTAACAACGAACATTTTCCTGTTTGGGGAGTCCCAAAACTTCTGTATGTAGGAAATATTATTGCATCATAATTATTTTTGCCAGGATGGACTGATATATGATTTTGCTGACCAACATGCTTATGTTTTACAGTAAATGGTGTCATTTACCAGATGCTTACTTTACACCACAACCAGGTACCGTAGTTCCTCAGTTTACGTGATGATTCTGCTGTTTGTTTCCTAAACACAACCAGCTCACTCCATCCTGAAGAGGCCTAAGCTTGCAAGCAGACCGTGCACCGTACGCTTTGACCAGGTGACAGTGTTCAGCTTCCCGCGGTGCCAGGGCTTTACCAGCGTGCCCAGCCGTGGAGGTGCCACCCTTGGCATGGTGCGGAAGCACAGCAGCCTTCAACAGTACACGATATCCGAGCATGCACTGGAACAACGGGACAGGCGCAGACAGAGGCTCAGAGAGAAACGGAGGAAAGAGCGGTTAGAAGCTTTAAAACACAAAGTAGGTGCATTTCATTTCTAAACGTTTGCAGCGCCTGTCTGCATGACGCCTTTCTGACTTACTTCTGTTGTGCTCACTCCAGCTGATTACCAGTGGGGCCATTGACCAGCAGGAAGCAGACAGGCTTACTACAGATCAAATCCCAGATGAAGACACTGACAGCGACGTCAGTGATAGCGATCAGGAGGACAGAGGTTTCCTTCAGCCATTCTCCTCTAAACATCGCCAAGCCATCCTACAAGCAGCAGGGGTCAAGTTCATCGACAGGGAGGAGAAGAGGCAGCTTCATGCCTTGCGACTCTCTAGAGAGACCTGTGGATGTGACTGCCGAGGCTTCTGTGAGCCGGAGACCTGCGCGTGCAGTCTGGCGGGCATTAAGTGTCAGGTACATCTCCACATACACAGAATTTCTTCTCCAAACCTTCCCTCCATAAAGGGTAGTTTCAACATGTGTAATTCAGACTGATTTGAATGTAAATTGTAGTCTACCGTGGGTACTTATGCTTGTATATAGTCAGATGCTGAAGGTTGGTTATTATTTCACCTACGTTTGTTTCTTAGTGACTCACTGATGCAGAGAATCCGTGAATCACTAAGCTGAGTCAGTAGGTTCTGTTTATGAGTAAATCACCATTTTCTTTCCTTGCTTTTGTCACATACAGGTGGACCACTCCAATTTCCCGTGTGGCTGCAGTAAGGACAGCTGTGGTAACATTCAGGGACGCTTCGAGTTTGATTCCCGCCGTGTGCAGACTCATTACATCCACACCGTCATGAGACTGGAATTAGAGCGGCGTTTGCAAGATGAAAAACAGAACCCTGAGGACCGGGCTGGACTTACAGAGGTGATTCAACAGCATGAAGAGGAGGAGGAGGTCTGTACAGAGCAGAATGCACAGGACAAGAGCTGTCCCTTTGGCTTTACCTCAGAGGAGGCTGGCCTTCCTGTCACCATGCCTGCCACCCCTTCATTCCATTTCATCCCAGAACGCTTGGTAGTGGAGGAGAACAGCTGCAGCAGCGATATGACTGAATCCTCTTGCTCCTCCTCTGACTGTGATGCAGGAGGAGGCTGCAGCGGGGGTCACAGTCTCCCTGATGTTGATGGAGGGTTGAGCCGTGCTCTTAGCCTCTGTGACTCGGACAGTAATAACTACTCCTCATACAGCCACCTGAGGCTTCAAAGAGACCCAGTGACACAGCACAGCAGCAGCAGCGGCTCTGCCACTCACAGCAGTACTACTGACAGTACGGGACCACACACAGTCGACACATTCGCAGACAATATAAGCAGAAACTCAGTGACAGATTATCTTGATGAAAATGCGAATCAACCCAGAGACGTCTTCAACGACGACTCTCTCGATGACTTGCCAAACACGCCCTCTCCCACTGTGGACTATTCCTTTAGCAGATACATGGACTTGAGTCTGTCCTCTGACTCCGACCTGGAGTTCTTTGACAGCGATTATCCCTGCGGACCACTGCACAGCTCTTTCAAAGGGCACAGACACCCAGACAGTTTTCGCCACCTCCAGCTGTTTAGCTCCGTCAGTTTGCCACAGTACGAGTCGAGCACCCAGCTCCTGGAGTCTCTGATCGGGTTAACTGAACAGAACACAGAGTAGATTTATTCAGTCACTGATACCCAACTTTTTTTTCCTTTTAAGCAGATTTAAGGAATTCTTGTGATATGATAAAAGAAAACGTGTGAGAGAATGTAATGTCCTGAGCACTGCTTTTATGTATTAGTAATAATTTTTTGACGTACAAAGACTAATGGATGATGACATATTTTTCGTAGCTGGATATTTTTCTATTGCTGAAAAAATATTTGCCTTGAGTATTTGAAGAAGTATTTGCCTAGAATCTATGTCTTTTTTAATTTCCTAAAACTATATAATAAAAATCTGATGTGTTATTTAATTTTTTTTGTCATCGTGCCCATACCCTAGAGGGTATGCAAGAAGAGAGAGGTGCCATGTGAATAGAAACACGTGTATACTGCTGGAAGGTGGCCAAGACAGGATAGAGCTAATCCACTGTGACTCATGACTCCAGCCTCTAGTATGTGAATATTTTTTCTTAATAACTGCCAGGGTCACTGTGGATTATCTGTTATGTGTTTAGCAGTATGGTCAGAGTGTGTCTGTGATGGAATAATAAAATATTTTTATTTATTTGATTGCAATTTTTTGTTTGAGGTGCAATTTTGTATGAAAGTCTCTATTTTTGTGGTTGTTCCAGGTGCTCCCACTATTTACACTACAAACCACAATCCAAAAATGTTATGCCGATTAAAATCTAAAGAAAAATAGAAAGCACCAATCTTCCAATTTCACAATGCCACACTGTATTCATAATAGAACACAGAAAGCATATCAAATGCGAGAAACAAAGTGAGACATTTTATTAGTTAATGAAAATGCACGTCTCAAAAAAGTTAGGATGGGAGCAATGAAAGGTTAGAAATGTAAAAAAAAAAAGTGGCACTAAGAAGAAATAGCTGGACCAACATTTTGAAACTATACACTTATCAAAAGAACATCTTAGAGAAGCAGAACTTCTCAGAAGTAAATATGAGCATAGATTCACTAATCAATTTAAAACTGCGTCTACAAATTCTGGAATAATTTCAGCATAATGATCCTCAGTGTAAAATTGTGAAGACTGTGAACACAGTTTACCACAAATGCAGATTAATGTTGTGCAAAGAAGAAGCCATATGTGAACATGTTCCTGTCATCTGTGAGTCAAAGCACATTTAAAGTGGATTGAAGCAAAGTGGGAAGCTGTTCTGTGGTCACGGGAATCACAATTTAAATTCTTTTTTTCTTTTTCCATCAGCACCTAAAAAAACCTTCATCTCTCATGTTATTGGGGAGCAGCAGTATCTGTGGAAATGGCAGTTTGCACATCTGGAAAGGCTCCATCAATGACATAACGTATATAGAGGTTTTACAGAAACATATCGACATGACATCTTTTTCATGGAAAGTCTTGCATATTTCAGAAAGATGATGCTTAACTGCAATCAGCAGCTACTACAACAGCATGGCTTTGGAGTAGAAGAGTCCAGCCTTCCTGCAGGCCAGACCTTTCACTAGTTAAAGCATCATGGAACAAAAAAGTAGGAAAAATAAGACCCAGGACTGTTGAACAGCTAGAATCCTCTATCAGACGAGAATAGGACAACATTCCTCTTCTGAAAGTCCAACAGCTGGTCTCCTCAGTTCCCAGATGTTTACTGGCTGCTGTTATAAATAGAGGGGATGCTACACAGTGGTAAACATGCCCCAAGTTAAAAAAATATGCAAAAAAATAAATAAATCCTGGAATAGAAAAAGTCCTTATTTTAAAAATTGAATATGTTTTGTGGGTACTAATCATATAAGATACGGGTTTATGAAATTTGCTAACTTTGCAGGCGTCACAGCTGAGTCACATCAAATAACACTGAAATTTGAAGCCGGTTTAACAGAATCTGAAGTATGAGGCAGCAAATAAACACTGTCAATGATGTGCGACCCTGCACGGTGTCCGAGGATCGACAGCAGCGATGTTCGACTGGTTTGGGCTGCGGACAAGATGGCCGAGAACTGTCAACTGTGGTAATTGTCGGTATTTTCTGATGACAGTAATTTTTAAACGAGTTCCCGGCAGAAATGGGTTTATCTCAGAGTTCAGAAGCATCCGAAGGAGGGACGTATGGATATCATGTGCACGGTGTAAGGCTTATAACGCGGCTCGTTTTTCTCTGAAACTGGAGCTGAATGTACAGCAGCTTATGAACTGTGTTGTATGCTAACAGGTAGCTAGCTTCGTAGTTTCAAAAACCTGACAGAAGAGACGGAGTTTACGTGTCATTGTGGGCGCAGCTGTGCATTAGGACGTATTTGTTTACGGTGTTATTAAGAAACAAAATGTTAGCACAACGTATAACTTGTCGCAAAGAAAGTCTTTTAAGAAGTCTGAGTCCACTGAGCTTCTGTTTTATTAAGTGCCCGGAAGTGATGCTTTGACAAGTAGAACTAGCGCGACGACAGTATTAATTAATGGAAATAAATGTTTACCGGCTTAGAACGAACCGCTTTCCTATAACCATTTCATGCTTCAGCAAAAAATACAAGCAGTACTTTGGATTATAGTTCAGAGATGCTTAAATGGTTAGTCGATCGACTGATAAATCGATGCGACTGATCAAGATGTGCGTTTGCGACGCTGTTATTTTTTTAAATTTAAAATAATGATGCAATATTTAGTTTTTCTGTACATTTGCTTGCTTATATATTAATTTGAATTAAAACATTCCAGTAAATCATTTTCTTCAAAGATTAAAGTGCAGACTTGCTTGTATTTATTTTGACAGGTGCAGCCAAATTCCCCTGCAGAGAAGGCTGGCCTGCAGCCCTTCTTCGACTTCATCCTGTCTCTTGACGCCAAGAGACTTGTAAGTTTAATTACAGCCATATAATAACAATTGCATTTACTGGTTATTCACTGCGACTGTAGATAAATATGATGAACATGAAAAAAGAAGAAGGTTAACACAGCTGGTTGCTATAATTGTTGTCTTCTTTAATTATTCCACACCAGAATGAGGAAAATGACCTTTTGAAGGATGTTCTGAAAGCCAATGTGGAGAGAGCAGTGAAGATGGAGGTGTACAGCACTAAAACCACGAGGGTTCGTGAGCTGGAGGTGGTGCCCAGTAGCATGTGGGGAGGGCAGGGTCTGCTGGGCGCTAGTGTTCGCTTCTGCAGCTACCAGGGGGCCAATGAAAATGTTTGGCATGTCCTGGTGAGTTGCGTCGTCAAAGAACTACTAAAACGCATTGTGCTTCACTGTAGTCTCAGCTTCTGTAGCTGTGAGTCCATTATGGCTTCATCTTTTGTTTCTGTTTTCTCCAAGGATTTGGAAGCCAGTTCACCGGCTGCACTGGCGGGGCTTCAGCCCCACAGTGACTATATTGTGGGAGCAGATCAGGTTTTGCAAGATGTAAGATGTCTTATTAGAACCATGCAACATTACTTGTGGCATGAAAATTTCAAATTTGCACCTCCAGTAGTTAATTCAGAGTTTGTCATTTGCAGTCAGAAGACTTTTTCTCACTGATTGAGGCCCATGAAGGAAAACCTCTGAAGCTGCTGGTGTACAACACACAAACGGACCTATGCAGAGAGGTGGTGGTCACACCAAACGGAGCATGGGGAGGAGAGGGCAGGTATGGCCAAATGCAGCTGACAGTATATAAAAGATGGATGTAATCATTGTCATGTCACCCGCTGGTTTCTGGACTCCACATTCTAACGCGTGTTAGTGGCCCCCCCCCCCACTATTTTTAGATTTTTCTTTGATGCAGATGCACCCTAAGGCCCAGGGGCCATATTTTTTTCAAAGACTCAGATCCGATCCACTGGAAGACATACATTTTAAACTTTTAACTGTATTTTCACAAGTTTTACAACTTTTCCTATCTCACTTATGGCAATTTTAACTAAACCAATTAATAATTAAGTAATAAATAAACGCTTCAATCAAAGAAAAGTTCCTGTTTTTTCACTTTATGATATAAAAATTTCAGGGTTTTTTTTACAAGGGGCCCACACTAAAGAAAAACAAAACCAGAAAAATGTCTGTGAAGTTTTCTCAGTCATCCAGGTCATTGTAGTCTAAGGAGCTTGGAAAGAAAATTGTCTAGATTTCTGGACATCCTCTACCTTATCACATGAGCCAAGGTGTGAGAACGGGGTTTCACAATGAGCTCACCCGATACCTTGACTGATTGTGACCTACACACGTTTTCACACCTTGGCTCATGTGATTAAGTAGAGGATCATTAGGGTGTCCATTGTCCCTCTAAAGGGCACACTCCCACAAGGCTTAAATCTGGGACTCTCCACCTTTTGACCCTGCAGCTGAAGAAGCTTCTCGGATGAGAGGTGAAACGTCTTAAAGCCACTTAAAGAAGTCCAGACACTTTTCTTTCCAAGCTCCTTAGAAAACCAGAAAAAAGAACATTTTTTGCGACATAACAAGAACTTTCAGTTTAAATTACAGGATAGTCAGAGCAATGAGCTAGTAAAACTTTTTCTGTAATTTAAGCCCAGAGAGTCATGCTGACAGATTTCATTATAGTGTAGAAAAACAAGGACAAACTGTTGAACTTGCACTATATTTTCTCATATTTATTATTTACACATTTATTATATATGTAGTTTACACCAACAGAAAATGGTCCAGCCCACTGTGGGCTATCAGGCTCACATTCCTAAAATAAGACATTCCCAGAATAGGGTCTTACTTGGTGATGGTCTTGCATGTTGCAACTATGATTTCATGTGTAAATTGTTAATCAGTTGTTGTATTATATCTTAAAGCATCTGCAAATGTTTGTCTGCAGTTTGGGTTGCGGTATCGGTTATGGCTACCTGCACCGAATCCCTGCTAATCCAGAAATATCAACAGTCGAGCCTTCTGCCCCTGATGTTGAGGAGAACCACTCTCCAAAGCTGCCTGCGCATGGATACACAGAGGTGACAGTAAAATACAGCAAAATCTCACATTTGAGAAGCTGACACAGGTCAATAACTTTCACCGTGTGCGTGTGTCTCCAGGCACCTCTCATGGCACCTTCAAGCAATAGTGAAGAGTTAAACCTGGAGCAGGTCACCCTCGAGGACTCTTATCTACCTCCACCCATTCAAAGGGTCACCGAGCTTGGTCAGTTAAGATTCTGTTCACCTTAGCACATGCTGTGTTTGCAAAAATCTTCTTAAGATGTGTGTTTTATTGTTGGAATTTTCCAGGTTTTTCTGATTCTGAAATGGCAGTGATGAACCCCGATCCTTCAGACTTGGTGGACAGGCTGGATCTGTCCATGTCATCCATTGACATGACAAACACCTCGCTGGCGATGCACGAGGAGAAGGAAAGCGAGATATCTGGTGTTGGTAAGTCAGTATGGCAGCTGTTCATCACTGTCCAGTGACTTTCATGCATCAGTTTTAAGAAATATATTCAGTTTCATTTATATAGGTTCAAATCAGAACAACAGTCACCTCAAAGTGCTTTATATAATAATAATAATAATGGATTGCATTTATAGTGCTTTTCGAGACCCTCAAAGCGCTTTACAATTCCACTATTCATTCATTCTCACATTCACACACTGGTGGAGCCACAGCTGCCCTGGGGCAGACTGACAGAAGCGATGGCCCCTCTGGCCATCACCAGTAGGTGAAGTGTCTTGCCCAAGGACACAACGACCAAGACAGAGAGAGCTGGAGATCGAACCGGCAACCTTCCTGTTACAAGATGAGCCTCCCAACCCCCTGAACCACGGTCGCCTTTTAATTTGGGAAAAACCTGAGGCAAAAACTTAACAATAATACACAGAAAACCCCAACAATGAAACATCTATGAGCAAGCACTTGGCGACCGTGGGAAGAAAAACTCTTCTAACAGGAAGAAACCTCTAGTATAACCAGGCTCAGTGAGAACTAGCCATCTGCCAATGAAATATGTTGTATGTTTAATATAATTCTCTCATCCACTTCTGTTGAATTCAACCATATTTGTTTTACTACAGAAGAGTTGGAGGACAGTGTTCTGCTCCCATCATTAGCAGACCACCAGAATGAGCCACAAGAGCACATCTCCCAGGCAGCCAGAGACCTCACTCCTGCTCTCTTGTCTGCTGATTCAAGCGTCCCACCAGCTGGACTCTCCCACCTGCTCACAGAGTGTGCAGAGCCACAGAGCTCTCTCATTGAGTCTAGTGATAGCCAAAGTCCAACTATAGGTGCGTTGTCTTTTTCTCTTGAGCCTTCTGTGCCCGCTGAAGACCTTCCTCGCTCATCTCCTGTCGATCTCATCCCATCTCTGGTCACCGAGGAGTCCACCGCAGACAGGTCTCCACCTCAGGCCATCGAGGACACTCTCGGGTCAGTGGATGAGATCGCAGAGCCTCTGCATGTGGCTTCTGCTCACCACTGTGACCATGAGCACGATGATGAGTAGGAACCCAAGAAGTCACATTTTGAGTAGGCTTAAGTCAGGCCAGACAAATGCAAAGTGTCGACGACAATCGTTTTGTTTTGTTTTTAAAGAAATGATTTTTAGGATAGATCATCAGAGGGAAGACTTTATCTTGTCAGTCTGTCTTGTTTGCATGTAAGACTGCATCAGCAGATTGGTGACACTACATAAACCAGCTACAGCATTAATGCAGAAGATGGGTGAGGAAAAGGCACTGTAGTAATCTTCTGTGTGTTTTGTATGTGAGAATTTAGTTACTGCTTAGTTGTAAGCCAGAACAGTTTTTAAAGGTCAAACTTTTTCCTTCCGAGTGCAAATTTGGATCATACGGGTAATGAGACTGCGTCTGGTAGGCCGATGTGACAAAACTTGAATTTTTCCAAAGACAGACATTGCAAAGCACAGCTGCACCTTTTTATCAAGGACAATTATCAATATTTTTTTGAAGTTACTAGACGGTTGGCCACTCAGATTAGTCGCCATAGTCTTTGGCGGTGGTGCAGTGTTACCTTTAATGTTTTGAAGCAACGTCGTTTAAACTTATCCAAAGAAACACTTTTAATTATAAGACATGGGACATTTTACTTTATATCCTCCAGATTGGTGACACTACATAAAGGGCTTTCACTGTGGGACGATGCTGAATAGAAACAGCACAGGTTTTACTTTTGTTTTTAACACTAATATTTAATTAGATTTTGTTCAGTGATGTACTTTGTAATGAGTCTAAAATGGATGTTTACTGCTGTATAGCCAGATTTATGCCCCCTTTTAATTTCCATGACCTATGCAACACTAGATTATACCCACCTTTCATTTCATAGACAATGCATTGCTAATGTAAAGTAAGCATTTAATTAAATATAAGACTGCCAAGTTAGTAATACTTGAGTAATTCACTTTTGTTTGTTTTTTTTTTTTAGGGGCATCTTAATAGTTTTCATTGGTCAAGTAGGTGCTAGTGTGTAAAATAAGAAAAAGTATTTTTTGCAGATATTTTTATCAATGAATTGTCTGTTTTATTAGGAATGAGTGCAAAGTCTTGATGAATGTGAAATGGGTGAATCTTCGATGGTTAAACAATCACTGGGAAAGAAAAAAAAAAAAAGGAGTCCCTCGTTTCTCTTATTTCACTTGAATCAGCTCAACACAATACAACTCGAGACAGCCATTTATAATCCTGGTAAAACCTGTCATTGTTAAACCATTCCAATTTATTTCTTTGAATGCCTAAAATATACATATTTCACAAATGATTACAATAATGGATATTGCAGAGTTATGGCCTGATTATTTGTACCCATCTTGGATTTTTATTTTTGGCCAATTAGAGCTCACTCAATGCATCCTCCCTCCTGCTATGGCATTACACACACTCGTGGCAAAATTAAACTCCAGGAAATTACAATGAAAAGATCTGTTGTTGTGGCTTGGTGACACACCAAGCGACAAGATGTGTTAGCATTTATTACACTTTGGTGAAGTTCCCACAGTGGCTGAATGTTCGTATGTCATCTCAGATGAGATTCCCCTTCAAGTTAAATTTATGCTCCACTGAACTCCTACTGAATCTAAATGAAATATACATTAGGAACAACCCTCGCTGTCATCAGAGTCCATGCTCGTGAACCAAACGCAGAGCATCTAAGCATGAATTACTGTTTAAGATATATACCCTATATATAATTTCCCCAATTGCTAAGATGACCTACACAAATACTAACTGCAAGTTTCAGATTGCAGTGAAATCAACAAATGAAAATCTTACCATTCAAGTCATTTAGCGTTCATGACCATGAATGTGCTGCAGGGATTTGGAAAAATAATTTGTGTGTTTTGCTTTTTTAAGTAAACTGTACAAAAACAAAAAGAAAACAGCTGCAAAACCAAAAGAAAAAGTAATTTAAATGAAAAATGTTGTACATATATTTACAAAATAAAGAACATTCATTCCTTTGAGGATAACACCGCTAAAAACAAAAGACAACGTGGACTGCTTCTGTCGATGAGGTTCAAGCTCTGCACTAACTGGATGTCTAAGCCGAGGTTAAGTTCAAGTTAATGCAGACGACGTCGACTACAGAACAGAGGAGGGGTTTTTTTGTCTTTGAGGGACTGTGAGGCTACCCAGAGACCAAGTGTACTCCTAAACTGGTGATACTGCTGAGACAGGACTGGAGTGTCTGTAGAACAAGGACAGTTTCCTGGAATGTACTAGAACAGACAGTCTACTACATCCGTGTGCATACATACACAAACACGCACTGCAACTTCAGTCGCTTCAAAAATAAAATGCCAATCAGGAAAGGGTGGGCAGGGACAGTCAAAGATGTGAGGAAGAAGAACAAGGAAAAAAAAAGGATGCAGAGAGGAGACATTTAAGTCCAAACTTAAAAAAAACAATATGGACCACTTATTTCCCAGGTGTCTGTTGGCTGCGCCGGCCTGTTCTTCTCAGTTTCCTATAATACAACATGAGCCATGTCCCCACAAATTTTACTGGATTCTCACTGTTACTGCAACTCTTGACCACACAATGGGGTTTTAGGGTACTACATGTCAGAGGTGGGTGGTGATTGGCAAATGACAAAGAGTTCTGCTTTTAAAAATGACGACTTTCACGTGGACTTCTGCCTATAGTGAAGTGTCAAGTCCCCTCCGCTCTTCCAGATAAAATGTTTAACTGTTCGCAGGTCCATGTTGGGATCTAGCACCTGGACGAATCAAAAACAAAAGAAGGTTACTAACATGAAAGAGAAGTTGTGTTCAGTGCATTCACAGAGCGTGTTGATGTGCCCACCTGGTCTTGACACATTAGCTCAATCTTCTCTTCAGCTAGCATGGCCATGTCCTCCTCCTTCTCCTGCTCCCCGGGTTTATCGTTGGCCGAGGAGCTGGTGGTCTGTGACTCGTTGTCCAAGTTGATGATCTTCTCATAAACATGTTCCATGACCTTTCTCACCTGGAGCATGTCACTGGCCGACAGTCGGTCCCTGTGCGACAAAGAAGGTATAAAAACGGGCAGTGAACATTGCAGAGCTGCACGTGACACGGATCTTTGCTGAAATACGAGAAATTACAAACTTACTTTTTTAGAGTTTTTGCACCAGAGGAAGAGTGGGGCTGGAGGTAGAACGGGATTTTGTTGAACTTGGGCATATTTTTCTGTCATGGAAAAAAAAAAAAGACGTGTAACTCAAACGTGAGAACAAAATTTAATTGCAAATGTCACATCACAAAGATACAAGAAAATGGTATTGCTTCATCCAGGGAAGAACAGTGACGGATCTGTAACACCGCTGAGCTTTTTTCTGGCTTAGACCGGGCCTGTTGGCGAGCAGTGCGGTGATTACGCAGCCAGGCACAGCTGGTCCGTGTACTTTAAAAGCAATGACTCTGTGTCACCTTGTTTGACACAAATGAGTTCTGACCGTGTGATAAAAATAACATGTATTAAACTTGAGTAAATAAATCACAAAGTGGTTGAAGAACTTTTTTAACGGCAATGCTGCAGAGTTCCCTCTGCTTTCTCACTGCAAGAAATCTCCTGCAATCAGGTTTCACATTTGTATCATGTTGTGATAAAGTGCACAGTCATAGCCCTTAATGTCATACCTTAGTCCCTACTGAGTATAGAGCAATTTGTGAAAGGCAAGTACACATTTTTAGTGCTCGTCGTTTCTAACTGCCTTAATGTTCACTCATTCACTAACAACTGAGTGTTAGTGGATTACTATTAGAGCAGGCAAGCTGTGCACGTCTAGTCTCTTTAAACAGAACAGAGTGTTTAGTTTGAAAGTTGGTCAGGTCACATTTGTAAACAGTAACCTGATAAATGAATAACATTTTGCTGCTTCAGGTTTTAAGGTGCTGTATATTCTGGCCACTACTGACTGAGAGAGAATCATCATTGGAGTCACAATTCTGCTTTAGTCTATAAGCAACTCAAGGAAGTACTCATTACCATCATCTGTACCAAGTATAAAACATGTTACACAAACTCAGAAGTACTGAATCTCAAATACAAACACGGGGCTATTTTTGCCTGTTTTATGCAGCTTTTAGTTCCTTCCCACACTAAAGCCGTCCAACTAGAGTATACGTATTAACACTTTGCAGTGTTTAGCAACAAAAGCAGTCATGATTTTCTTCCTCCAAGCTTCCAAACCAGTGGGCTTCAACTACTCATGCCACATTTTTAAAAAATCTTCTTTTAATTTTTGAATGAAATGTGCATGAAATATAGACACGAGCACTTGGGCTTTCTAATTTTAATAAATTATGTAGAGCGATGTAGACCAAAGTTAGACGAGCAGATGACGGATGATGCCCAGGATAAAGGGCAAATAAGAGAAAGGCTTTAAAAAGGGAGCCAGCTGCTCATTTCCAGTTCCATATTTTTATTCTTGGACTAGCTCTGCATGCTCCACAGTTCAAAAATAATGCTTATTTATCTTATACTGAGTCTCGGAGCAGCCTCTCATGTCAAACATATATGAAATGAGCTGCTTAGGTTTCTTTCACACTCACTGTCAGACAACTTTCTGATGATTGGCTACCCTTTGCAAACAAGAAATGTAAAACATTAGGTGCTGTGCTGTGTTTGATTATATTTAGGATAGCCCCTCTCTTTCAAGTTATGACCCTATGATCAGCCAATAGTGTCACAGAGATTATTATCCACTGATTTTATTATGTGAAACTTTGACCAGGTTTACTATGATCAGCCACCAGTGGAACACTGCATATGACAGGATAGATGAAAAGCACAACATGCACACTTTAATAAAAGATCAACGGAAAGGAGGTTTAAAAAAAAGAATAATCAGCAGAGATACTCACATCTACAGTTATATCAATAACCCACTGTGGGACTGTCTCATTGAGCAGCATGGATTCAGTCTCTCCGCCTGAATCTCTACATAGCAACCTGCAGCGTAAAAATAAAGCAGATCAAAAGAAACGCTGGACTTGTGCGACCATTTCTAATGACACGTGATGACATCACAAGGGGAAGATTTGACTTTCTAACATGACCTTAACTGACGATCTAAAAGTTTGAAAGTTTGTTGGTGAGAGCTTACCTAAAAAGGGTTCTGCCTCCCGCTTCTCCAAAGATAACTGGTGTGTGTGGTGGCACCTGGAAATATCCGTTGCCTTTCTGGACCCTGTTTTCTTGCTCTCCGTTCACTGAGGGAACAAGAACATAATCAACAAACCCGATGACATCTTGGCTTAGAATGCGCTCACTGGCACAGTTTGCAGCCAATTCATGTTTGAGGCCAAGTGGATAAAAAGACGAGGGAAACAAGACAAAGGAAAAAACATGCCCCGATGACGCTCCCCTCGGTGCAGACATTTGGCAGTTTGTGCATTCACTGGATAATTGAATCAGTCAATCAATCTCCTCACCATGGTTCACCTCGTTCTCTTCCTCATCCATGGGGTTGATTCGGGTTCTGGGCCAGAACTCCAGCAGAGCCTGAAGCAATAGTCCGCCCAGGTTCACTGCAAAGGGGAGAAATCAGCGTTGTGTAATGCTAACTTAGACCTCTGGCTCTGCATTACGTAACCTTCATTAGTATAGAAAATGTAATCTCTTACACTTTGGATCCGATCCATCGGAACTTGAAAACCCTGCGTCCTTTGCAGACACCCAGGCAGCAAAGCAGTCACTCTCATCCAAAGTGATAGTGAGCATCTGTCGAGCACATAACCACGACAGGAATCAACCAGGAGAAGTTAGAACTCAGCTAGAAAACACTGAATGTCAAATCATGTGACGGGCTCCTGTATTACCAGGTTTGAAACTCACCCCAGTTTTCAGATCAACAGAGAACCAATTTGGCACATAGACCATCTTGAAGCGCTTTTTAATCTCTTCGTCAAATTCAACCTTCCCCAAGTCTTCGCCCTTACATGCCTACAGGTCAAATGTGAGCACAAAAGGTCATTTCAAACTACAGATATATCGACAGGTGTGCATTCCTACAATTTCACTTTAATTCACACAGATTCATCAGCTCATTCAGGTGGATGAGCACCAATAAAACCACAGTGGAGTTCTCCGCCCCAACACCCACGCCTGGGAAACTTTCAGAAGAACTAAAGGTTCATTCGGGGTCCATCAGTTCTTCTTCCT